CTGCTCAGCAGTGAGTCTGTTTCTCCATCTTCCTCTGGCCCTCTGCTTGCTTGCACTTGCTTTCTTTCTCAAATAAATAAAATCTTTTTAAAAATACCTTCAAAAAGAACAAATAATCCAATTGAGAAATGGGCAGAGGACATGAACAGACATTTCTGCAAAGAAGACATCCAGATGGCCAACAGACACATAAAAAGTGCTCCATATCACTCAGCATCAGGGAAATACAAATCAAAACCACAATGAGATACCACCTCATACCAGTCAGAATGGCTGAAATTAACAAGTTAGGAAATGACAGATGCTGGTGAGGATGCGGAGAAAGGGGAACCCTCCTACACTATTGGTGGGAATGCAAGCTGGTGCAGCCACTGTGGAAAACAGCATGGATGTTCCTCAAAAAGTTGAAAATAGAGCTACCCTACAACCCAGCAATCACACTACTAGGTATTTACCCTAAAGATACAAATGTAGTGATCTGAAGGGGAACCTCCTCCCCAATGTCTATAGCAGCAATGTCCACAATAGCCAAACTATGGGAAGAACCTAGATGTCCATCAGCAGATGAATGGATAAAGAAGATGTGGGGTGTGTGTGTGTGTGTGTGTGTGTGTGTGTGTGTATGTATATATATGTGTATATATATACACATATATATACATACACACACACACACACACACACACACACACACACATATATATATATACACACACATATAATGCAATACTATGCAGCCATCAAAAGAAATGAAATCTTGCCATTTGCAATGACGCGGGTGGAACTAGAGGGTATTATGCTGAGTGAAATAAGTCAATCAGAGAAATATAACTATCATATGATCTCCCTGATATGAGGAAGTTGAGAAGCAACATGGGGGGTTTAGAGGGTAGGAAAAGAATAAATGAAACAAGATGGGATCCGGAGGGAGACAAACTGTAAGAGACTCTTAATGTCACAAAACAAACTGAGGGTTGCCGGGGGGAGAGGGGGAGGGAGAGGGTGGTGGGGTTATGGACATTGGGGAGGGTATTTGCTATGGTGAGTGCTGTGAAGTGTATAAGCCTGACGATTCACAGACCTGTACCCCTGGAGCAAATAATATATTATATGTTAATAAAAATAATTTTTAAAATGCCTTTAAAAAAGAAAAAGAAACAAGAAATTCTGTGTACATTTGTCACAGCCTCTTTACTTAGAATTCTAAGTGAATCTGGTTGTTAGATAAAGCTCTTCTACCTAGAACAAAATAAAGAGGTCAGAACATACCTGAAGATGATAAGTAATAGTAATATAATCAATAAAAAATTGTTGAGGATTTATCAAATACTACAAATATATTGAGAGCTTTATAAGCATTATTTAATTATCTAAAGAACACTATAAAGCATGTTCTTTTACCAACCCTACTTTATAAAAGAAGAAAACTGAGAGGATGCAAGGGTATGAACATGGTCTTGTGGCTCATAACTAGCAACTGTCAGAGTCAGGCTTCAAACATGATTTATTTTATGCCACAACCTATAGCATTTCCTATTAAATTATATAGCCCAATGGAGAAGTACGATCAGGCTTAGACAGAAGGGAATGTAAAAAAGGAGGTTTTGAAAAAAGAAAGCTCATTCAACAGTTGGCAGCTTAAATCACAAGGGGGCAAGATAAAAACTCTAATTATTTATTATTTACAGGATTCTCACCCTTCTAATGAAATTGGATCCTTAAGAGGGTTTATGGTTTGCTCAAATATAAGTCATTTTTCATAAAATGGCCATTCTAAATAGTGAAGATATAGTGACATGTATAGGAAATTCACTGTAGGAGAAGCTAAGACAACAACATTGTTCCAAGAAGCAAGAACTTGTATATATAGAGAGACTATGTTGAAGGAGAAAGAGATCAATCAGCCAAGGGCAGAAAAGAAAATTGAGCTGAACAGAAATGTCTAATAGGCAATGTTAATAAATTTCTTAATAATAACATGTGGACCTCTGTCTCTGCCCATCTATGAAACATGTAAATCTGATACTACTAGTCAATATTTTTGTAGTTGGAATTTATTTTTTTATATATGACAACAAATAACTGAGTTTTTCCTCAAAAGGGAAGGGAGTGAGATCAAAGATGGTTCAATGATATCTCCTGCTAAATTCAAATTAAAACATAATATGACAAATTAAGATGGGAGATCAAAGACATCACAGCACACAAGTGAACTGGCATAAAGAGAAAAATTTGTCAAATACTTCTACACAAAGAGCTACTAAATTTCACAAATGACTTAAATAAATGAAAAGATATACCATGTTCATGGATTAAATGACTTAACGGCAGTAAAATTTTCAATTCTCTTGAAGGAAATCTACCCAAAACCATTCTTATAGTTTTATTTTTTTAATAGACATTCTATTGCATAAGAATTCAACAAACTCTATATTTAAAAATATGGCTTAAAATTTTATGAATTGCTGAATCAATTTAAAAAATAGAATAAGATGTTGAAAATTTCCCTACCAGATATTAAAACAGATATGCCCACAAATCCAAAACAACAAAAATAATATGGTCATCTACAGCAGAAATAGAAAATTAAAAAACCACAAAACATAGAAATAGATACAAGGAATATATGGAAATTTGAAATATGAATAATTAAGGTGATAATATCAATTGATGAGAAAATCTAGGTTGTAGATGATGTTGGAAAAACAGGTTTAACATACAGAGAAAAATAAAACTAAACTCCTACATTGCATCACATGAAAACAGAACTCCAAGTGAATTAAATATCTAAATGAGCAAGTAAAAGTAAGAAGCCAACAGAATAAAGTGTAGGAAAATATCTCTATGATGCATTTATTAGTTTCCTATTCCTGCTGTAATGAATAACTACAAACTTAATGATTTAAACAATAGGTATTTATATTCTTATGGCTCTATGGCTTAGTTGTCCAACAGGTCTTACCTTATGTTGAGGTTTTGGCAGGGTTACATACCTTTCTGGAAACTCTACAAAAGAATCTTTTTTTTTTTTTCCCCTTTCCCAGAGGCAACCCAGCTTCCTTGACTTGTGGCACCTGTCCTCTATTTTCAAAGCCAGCAATGCAGCATCTTCCAAACCCTGCATTTGTTTTCACATCTTTCTCGCTAACAAATTATAGTCAAGAAAATCTCTCCACTTTAAAGGATTCACATGAATAGATTATACCCATCTGGGTAAATCAGAATAATCTCCCCCATTTCAAGATCCTAAGTCTTAATTATATATGCAAAGTCTTTTCCATCACATGGTAACATATTCCCATGATCCAGGGATTAGGACATGGGCATCTTTGGAGGGTCATCATTTTACCTGTCATAATGACCTAGGAGAATACTATTGTAAATTAGGCAGACAAAAAAAACTTTAAAAAGCACAAATCATAAGGTTCAAATTCAATGGATTTGACTACATGAATATTAAAGATTTCTGTTCAATTAAGAATATCATAAACAAAGTTAGCAGACAAATGACAGACTGGGGGTAAATATTTGCAAAGTCAAAATCTGGCAAAAGGCTAGTATTTATAGTATACAAGGGATCCTACCTTATTAATAATTACTTTAATTGTAAGTGGACTAAACACTCCAAAAAAAAAATTCAGAGATTGGCAGAATGAATTTTTCTGTTAGACGGATGATAGATAGATGATAGATGATAGATAGATAGATAGATAGATAGATAATAGAACTTTACCATGAGCCAGACATTGCTAAGAACAAAATGATGAGTCCTCTATCTCATACATAACAACAATTCTTTTTACATGCATAAGTTATTTTGTACTAATATAAATGAAACAAAGTTTTATTTTTGTTTTTGTTTTTTCAGAAAGATGAAAAGCAATTCACAAATTTTTATTTTTTTCAAGCCTTATTGTCCCTAGAATTTTTCTTAAGCTCACCTAGGATCTAAACATCACGGAAGCTTTTATGGTCTCGTGTGGCCTACACATAGGTACTTATCTGTGCCCAGTTAGACACAAAATAACCTATCAGGTTAAAGGGGAATGGATTTCACCATTTTAAATGTGAAATATGTTTGAGTTGGATTAATTTCATAAACTGTGATAGCCAACAGAGATAATTCAAATAGTTACATGAGTGGTTCTAAAGTCTCTCTTGTATGGCAATAGTACATAGAAATTTTATATAAATGTAGATTACCCAGCCCCATCCTGAGAGATTCCAATTCAGAAATTTTGAGTCTTTACTGGGATTCTGCATTTTTCACAGGCTCCAAAGATTAATATGAGTTGGCACATGACCATGTTTAAAATATTCTGTTTGGTTATCAACTTTTTGTCCTTGTTGTTAGAACAACTCAGCAAAATAAAATTCCAGTTTATTGTTGGACATTGTTTCATACATACATCAAACAGGCCATAAATAAATAAACAAACAGCAACTTCATAGACAAAGAAACCCTTTATCTTTGGCCTCTTTAACCACCTCATACAAACCAACTACTTATAGTACAGCTAAGTACATACACAAAAAATGTTACTGGAATGCTCGGAATAAGATTTTTTGTTGTTGTTTTTGCTTTTTTTAACAAGTTTTTTTTCCTCCTTTGAGATTACAATGAACACGGTCACACCACAAGTAAAGTCAGAAGCAGGACAGAGAACACTTCAAAGGATGGTTTGGTCATCCGAGATCATTAAAAAATGGCTGACCTCTTACAATATGTACAAAAATGTAAAATATAAATAAAAAATACAAATTTTCCTTTTTAAAGTACTTTTAAGAAAAAAAAGCAGGGCCTTGGAAGTTTTGGTTCTTTTTTTCCTCCCCTGTTGCAAATTTACATTGTGGTTTTTGTTGGGTGGAGGAGAACGTGTGTCACCTGCGGGTGGCGCTGCCAGCACTGGGTAGAAGGGCGGGACTCTCTACTTGAAGGTGGCCACTTTGAGATTATTAGACGGGAAGTGGAAGGTGAATAGGTCACGGTGGCCCATTTTTTTGTTATGTTTAACTTTTCCTTTTTTGCTGTCTAGTCATCCTCATCAGTCTTCTGCTTCTTGGAGTCCACATCGTCCTCCTCATCATCTTCAGCTGCCCCTGCCTCCTCATCTTCATCTCCATCCTCTTCCTCATCATGACCTTCTTCCTCCTCTTCATCTACCTCATTGTCGGCCTCCTGTTCCCCATTTTCCTCATTAGCGTTCCCATTAGCAGGTGTGTCTCTTCCATTCTCTGCCTCCTCCACAGCTTCCTTCTTCTCCTTTAAGTTCTTGGTGGTGATCTCGGAGCTGGTGTCCACGGCTGCTTCTGACATGATGGGGCACCCGGGTGATCCAATGCAGCGGATTAGAAAGAAAGGAAGAGTTGGAGGATTCTGGCGAGAAAGCTGCCCGAATCCGCAGTGGCAGAGGAGGCACGTGGCGGAGGTGGTTGCAGCAAACAGGAGGCTGAACACAAGATCTGTGCAAAGATGGCTTTTCAGAGCAGCCAGTGGAGCCAGTTATCAGCTTTTGCATTAAAATTGGTTCAGAGTCAGTATAAATTTTATTAATATTATTAACAATGATGGTTTGTTTATTCATATATACAAATTATTGTTTGTCATTTAATGAATTAGTAAGGTTTCAGTTTATCTCTTAAGTTTTCAGAAGGCAGTAACTTTTTTTGGTGACTTTCCTAAGCATTTTTCTATTTTGTTTTCTATAAGCAAGCCTCCCACATACACTATCTCCATGGGACAAAGGTGTTACTTAATATCAGAAAACATTAACTTGAAAACCAAAAGCAACAGTTTGTAGTGGACAGTTGTTGCAAATCTTGATCCTTATAAATTTATTTTTTCTTTGAATTTATAATAAAAGATAATGATATCTTAGGTATACTTGTGGGAACATCATAAGTTTAAATTTATTTTTATTATTTTTGTTTTTTAACCAAAATTAATTATATAATTGTACATTCACATTCATTTTTAAGAAATTACACAGAAAGATCCTGAATATGCTTTATCCAGCTTCCCTTAATGTAAATATCTTAAAAAATCATAGAATACATTGTAATCAGGAATTTGATACTGGTATAATCCACTGGTCTCAAGATTTCCCTAATTTTACTTGTATCCATCTGAGTCTGTGTCATTGTATTTTTTATTTTTATTTTTTATTTCTCTTCCAAGTTTTTCCTTAAGATCCAGTGAGTTAACACACAGTGTATTAGTTTCAGTTGTGGGACTTAGCGATTCATCACTTCCATAAAACACCCACTGCTCATCACAAGTGCCCTCCTGATGGGTATTATATCACCCATTTAACCCACCTCGCTGCCCACCTCCCCTCCAGTAACCTTCAGTTTGTTTTCTATAGTTCAGAGGCTGTTTTACGGTTTCTCTCTCTCTTTCCACCTCTATGTTCATCTGCTTTATTTCTTAAATTCCACATATGCGTGAAATCATGTAGGATTTGTCTTTCTCTCATTGACTTATTTTGCTTAGAATAATACTCTTTAGCTCTATCCATGTCATTTCATATGGCAAGATTTAATTCTTTTTTATGGCTGAGTAATATTCCTGTCTGTGTGTGTACACTTCTTTATCCATTCATCAGTTGATGGACATTTGAGTTCTTTCCATTGCTGCTAAATGCAATGTAAAAGCAGGGTACCTGTTTCCCTTTGAATCAGTATGTTTTTATCCTTTGGGTAAATATCTGGTTGTGCAATTGCTGGGGCATAGGGTGGCTCTATTTTTAACTTTTTGAGGAACCACCACACTGTTCTCCAGAGTGGGGCAGAATGAATTTTAGAAGGTCCAACTGCAACTATCTCTAATAGACATGAAAGCAAAAGGTTGCAAAAAGTTACATCATAAAAATAATAACCAAAGACAGCTGGAGTGGCTTTATTAATATAAGAAAATCAATTTTAAAGCAAAAGTTGTACTAGAAGCAAAGGACATGGTTTAATGATAAAGTGGTCTATCCTTCAAGATGATAAGGTACTCATAGGCATAAATGTACCTAACAACAGAGCCCCAAAACTACATGAAGCAAAACTGACAAAACTGGAATAAGAAATGGACAATTTTTTAAAAAGATTTTATTGATTTATTTGACAGAGATCATAAGTAGGTAAAGAGGCAGGCAGAGAGAGAGAGAGAGAGAGAGAGGAGGAAGCAGGCTCCCCGATGAGCAGAGATGCGGGGCACGATCCCAGGACCCTAGGATCATGACCTGAGCCAAAGGCAGAGTCTTTAACCCACTGAGCCACCCAGGTGCCCCAGAAATGGACAATTTGACAATAAAAGTTAGAGAATTCAATATCCATCATGCAATATCAGATAGAACAACCAAGAAGAAGACCAACAAGGAAACAGATAACTTGAAAACACTATCAACCAATAGAACCCCCCCCCCCAAAAAAAATCCATACAACACTTATTATTAGCAGGTTACATACACTTCCAAGTGCATATGGAACAGTTTCCAAAATTGATCATAGTAGGCTAAAAAAAAAAAGTGTTAGTAAATTTAAAGGATTGAAAGTATACAAAGTATGTTCTAACCACAATGGAATTAAATTAGAAATCACTAAAAGAAGGAAATTTTAGGAATTCATAAATATGTGATATTAATACACTTTTCAATAAAAATATGGATGAGAACAGAAATCACAAGGGAAATTAGAAAATACAATAAGGAGAACACATGTACCAAAGACAACAAATCAATATTTAGGGGATGCAGCTAAAACAGTACCTAAAGCAAAATTTATAGCTAATAGTACCTATATTAAAAAATAAAAGAATACTGGGGCTCCTGGGTGGCTCAGTTGGTTAGGCATCTGACTTAGCTCAGGTCATAATCTCAGTGACCTGGTACTAAGCTCTGCTCCACACTCAGTGGGAAGTCTGCTTGTCTTTCTGCCCCTTTCCCCCATATTGTGCTCTCTCAGTCTCTCAAATAAATAAATAAAATAATTTAAAAATATTAAAAAAAGAGAATACAAATCAATAGCTTAACTATCCACCTTAAAAAAAAAAAAAACTAAAACAAAACAAAACAGCAAACTAAACCCAAAGCAAGCAGAAGAAAGGAAATAATAAAGTCTAGAGTGGAAACAGAGAATAGAAAAGTACTAGAAAATAATTAACAAAATGAAGTTGGTGCTTGGAGAAAATAAAAGCATTCACAAATCTTTAATTGAACTGGACAAGATAAAAACAGAGATGATTTAAATTACTAAAATTAGGAAAGAAAAGGGTGCATCACTAACCCTGACAGAAATTAAAATGATTATAAGAGAATACTAGGAACAATTGAGTACTAACAAATTAGACACCCTAGATGAAATGGACAAATTTCTGTAAAGATACAAACTGCCAAATCTGACCCAAAGAGAAACAGAAAATATGGATAGACCTATAAGAAGGTAATAAATTCATAACCAAAAACTTCCTTCAAAGTAGAGCATACAGATGGCTTCAATGGCAAATATCACCAAATGTTTAAAGAAAACTTAATACCAATTCTTCAGAAACTCTTCTAAAATATATAAATGTAGAAACACTTCCCAATTTATTCTATGAAGATAGTGTTACCTGTTGGGTCCATGGTCAAAGGAGTGAGACTGATACAAAGCGAAGGTCAAGCAAAGCTTTATTTCACGACAAGCATCGGGAATCAAACTGACCCGCCAGGGCCATCTCTTGCAAAGAGGCGACCTCTCTCTGCCTTATAGACTAGCTTTTAAGGGCAAAGGCCATGTGGTTGGGCCTGGCCATGCACCAGTGGCCCATGAGATTTTAACACAGAGAAAGCTGCACAGTCCTGCTAGGTCACACGTAAGTGACCAATTGAATTACAATTTACCCTATAGTAGATATTTGAACTAGCCTATCACCTTGGTCAGAATTGGCACCCAAAAGGCTCCCAAAGGGCGGGGCCTATACTCCTTGGTAGATAGGGAGAGAGTATGCAGCCCCACTGATTGGATGTCTCCACCTGGCCTGACCCACCCTTGTATTTGGGCTTTGTTACCTGGGACTGGTTTCCGGGACTTGTTTTAAGTAAGTCCCCTGGTGGAAGGGGGGGGCAGGGACAGCTAAATTTTACTGTATAAACAACAAGGTCATTGTTTAACCAGATGGAATCTCTCTGGCTAAATAGGCCCTTACATTACCCTGGTACTAAAACCACAAAAAACATCACAAGAAAACTAGACCAATAATCCTTATGAATGAATACAATACAAAAATCCTCTACAAAATGCTAGCAAACAAAATCCAGAAACATATAAAAAAGATGATACACCAGGACCAACTTGGACTTATCCAAAGAATGCAAGGTTCATTTAACATACAATAATAAAGTATATGATTTATCATCTTAAGAGAATAAAGGGGGAAAAAACATATGATCATGGCAAAAGATACAGAAAAACCATGACAAAATCCAGCAACCTTTCATGATAAAACACTCAACAAATCAGAAACAGGAGGAAACTTTGACCAAGCCCATCTATGAAACACCCATAATCAATATCAGAATTAATGGTGAATGACTGAATGTTTTCCCCTTAAGATCACAAATAGGAAGAGGCTGTCTCTTCTTCACACTTTTACTTAACACTATACTGTAGTCTCTAGAAAGGGAAATTGGACAATAAAAAGAAATACAATGTATCCAGATTGGAAAAGAAATAAACTGTATTTGCAGATGACATGATCTTGTACATAAACAATCCTAAAGACTCCCCACATAGCTATTTGACCTAATAAATAGTGAATTCAAGGTTACAGGATACATGATAAATATCCAAAAATTAATTGTTTTTATACAGTAGCAATGAACACTTCAAAAATGAAGAAAATGGTTAATTGATGATAGCATCAAAAGGAATAAAATTCTTAGAAATAAATCTAACAAAATGCAAGTTCTATACCTGGAAACTACAAATCATTGTTGAAAGAAACTGAAGACTTAAATAAGTGAGTCAATATGCCATGTTTGTAGGTTTGAAGACTTATTACTGTTAAGATAGCAATACTCTTCAAATAATTAAAACATCTTGACAAAGAACAATAAAAATGGAAGACTCCACATTTTGAAAAACTTAATAGAAAGCCATAGTAATCAAGATAGTGTGATACTGACACAAGGAGAGATACACAGTTCAATGGTAGAGAATTGAGAATCCAGAAATCAACCCTCATATTTATGGTCAATTGATTTTTGACAAGGGTACCAAGACAACTCAATGGGGAAAGAATAGTCTTTTCAACAAATGGTACTGAGACAAGAGAATCTACATGCAAAAGAATGA